AATATTTAGATGAACCACAGCACCAACTGCGTTTCCAAGGCTCTGAACTCAGAACCAGATGAACAAACTGCATTTCAACGTGCAGCCACCTCAGCTTTTGAGCCTCCAAGTCTCGAGGCTCCAGCCCTCTGAAAAGCGGAATATCCTGGTACTGAAACACAAGCTCGGGAACGCAGTGAAATCCCGACATCGCGAGCCTCGAAGATGTCTTTGAAGTCGAGTTAGAGATAACGTGATCCGCTCTCCTGCTGCGGCTTTAAATCCTGCCACCCGGGTCGGAGCTTCCCAGGGATGTTTGTGTGTGATCATGACTCCTCCGCCAAATCGATCCATCTCCTCAGAAACAGTAGAGGAAATAACCCCCCCACCCCGCCTGCCCTGCTTCCCGAGGGGCTACTGGCCGCCGTATCTTCACAGACATAATGCAACTGGGTTTGCGGCGTAATCTCCTCTTGCTCTGTGTGCTCCAGACACAGCGCAGCTACCTCAGGGCAAGCGAGGCCTAACTCCCCCCACCCGCCTCTGCACAGGCAAACCTTCACACTCCCTGTGAGCTTAGATTATGGCAAAGCTAAATGAGTCCCGTCCTTATTTCTGCTGTTCCGGGATTGGCCGTTCACCGTGGCGACTTTAATATTTCAGGGATATACAGATTAGGAGATTTAATCTCCCTCAGAATATTCATCGCTTGATTTCTAAGTGATATTTATTCCTATTATTTGGTGGTTAGCGCAGCAGAAGGGCCATCTGTTGGCGTTTCAAAAAAAAGAGCATTACAGAGGAAAACCGATTAATCACGTGGAAAGGACAAGGTGACGTCATTGCGCGATCTCTGGGAGAGTTTGTAACACGACTTTTAGCTTTTAAGTGGAAGTGATGACTGAAACATTAGAAAGGCAAATAATTAGGAAATGTAAATAAAATCAAAGAGCTTCAACCCTAAATACAAGCTGAACTGACAGTTTGTGCAGCGGCTTGTTGCAATCAACAATAAATCAATTAATCGCACGATGAATTCAAACAAACTCAACTATTTTCATTTGCACGATTGATCATTTTTCTTTTTCTAACAAGAACTGGATGTCAAAAGTCTTCAGTCCTTTGTTTTGGTCCCAACTGGCCCCTTATTTCGAGGGACAGTTTTTCTTACAGAGACTTCATCATTCATTTTCTTGGTTTTTCTGTGTTTCTGTATTTATTTTTGATTCATTTAGATGTCTTTCAGATCCAGTGTCCAAGGTTAATTTGAGTTTAAAGTCTATTGATATTTGAGAATGTGTTCTTGTTATCATTGTGCCATTACCTCTATATTATTTGAAAATGTCCTGAAAACAACATTATTTTTATTGCACAAACTTCAAGGACAATTTATCGACCAGACGTTGAAATATTTTTTGGGTTTTTTTGGGAGAAGTAGAAATGTAATATTTTAATCTTCTGAAAATATGTGTTTTAAGCTTCCTGAAAGCAACTTACACAAAGCTCAAGCATGGAGTGATCAGCTGCAGGAAACTGAACAATCTCTCACTGCTTTGTTTCCTTTATTCAGGGCAGGGATTCGGCTGACCGCTGCATGAAGTTACACTGTTACACTCAAACACCTGTGTAAATTGATATTCCTCCACATTTTCCTTTTTCTTCCCATCCATTCTACATGCAAACCTGTTAAAGAGGAAGTTCTCATCTATTGTTCTCACACCTGGCAGCCCTGTAGATTCAAAATTGTAACATTCGTCACATTTTAAGCTGAAGCAGTTTGATTTCACACCTCTCTGTGTCAAACAATCCAAACCAATTGAAAAGCCTGTTCCTCCTCTGGCCTGTGGTGGCACTGCACCAAGAATTACTGAAGTGAATGACATGAGAACCTCCAAAAAACGTCCTTTTTTCACAAGATAAAAACAGAATCGGATGTTAGCAGCTGTAGGATTGCTCAGCGTTAGACTCTTGTGTTTATTTTGTCTGTGTTTACCCAAAATGCCCTGCGCTGCAGTTTGCTTCCTGCTTTCGGAGCGGTCTTCGTTCCACCTGCATTTGAACAACACCAGAGTTCAACCGTTTTCAGGTGGACCAGAGTTGGCTGTTTTGATCCACATCAAAGTTCGATTGACTCACGCCTCCCCGATGAGGCCGGACGTTTTTAGACCAACAAACTAGAGTTAGATTAACGCAGACTGAACAGGACCATTGTGAGTGCACTCTTTATTGATCTTAGAACCTGATGTTTTTCTAAAAAATAAAAAAATAAAATGTTGCAAAATCAGAATCTAGCTTTTGAACAAGATTGGACTTTCTTGTTTCACCAAAAGTACGAACACAAAGCGAGGTGGTGGAGGGCCGCTGAGTCGGGATTATTTATCACCCACCGCATGTGGGCACATTGTAATAATTCGTGATGCGATTTTGATGATGACGCGATATTCAAGCCAACCGAGGAACAGATATTTCTGCAGGCCACTTCACCTGGAAATAACAAGTAAATAAACATAAACTTCTCCACGGTGGAGCCACATTTGGTCCAGAACGTTTAGGCCATGAAACAGAGACGTGAACTATTTGAGTTTTGATCTCCCTGAGATGAACTGAACTGAACTGCGTTCGTGAACAACACCCAGCAGGGTTGGCCGCGGTGCACGTGTCGCAGATTCCATTGTCTGCCATTGTTCTTTTACTTTGTGAGTTGTAAACCGGTTAGACGGTCGGCCTAATCCCGTTGTTATGACGCTGCGCCGTCGTGGCTAATGGAGGCATCGTCCGCAGAGGAGAGGGATTGTTTTAATCCACCCATTGTCTGATTGCACTGATGGGGAATGTGAAACCACTCTGGGGGGAAAAAATATTGCCTCCGGTAGACAGCCTCAGTCATAAGTAGCTCAGTTTTTAAAGCCGGGATCGTGTTTTAATTAGGGGGAGACGGAAAGCAGCAGCGCAATGTGAACAAACACTGATTGGTTTCAGATGAGCTGCAGCAGCAGGGATTCTTTTGTGAGAAACGAATCCCCGCATCGCTTAGGTGCAATCCCGTCCGACGAGAAGGATGTAAACCTGCAGATTCTCTTTAGAGACGAGAACACAATGCAGGAAAAGACAGGAAATCCCCCACACAGAACTTTGCCTCCTTCGTAATCCCTCATCAGGAGTAAGAGGAACATCTGGCTCTAAAGCCTTTTAAGCAACTTTTAGTTTTCATTTGCCCTACTTTATTTTTTTATCCTTCGACACCATGTGACCGTCTGCTGCACGGACAGGGATAGTCACATTCAGGATTCTGACACAGGCAACACCCTAGTTTTTATTATTGTTATTATTATTATTATTTACGCCCCTCTCTCTCCTTACCAGTTGGAAAAACCCGTGGAAAACGATGGAAACGGATCTGTAGTCTGCTCCCACTGCCTCATTATTCCGCTTCCACAACAAGTCAGGCAACTCAGCCGGTTACTGGCGGCTTACATTGAAATTCAAGGACAAAAAAGAAAGAAAGAAAGAAAAAAAACACCCAGAGTGACGACTGCTTCTGGCATTTCTCGACGATGCAAAACCTCGTTACCGTGGCATGCTATGGAGAAACAAAGGCTGCAAAAAGCAGGACTGCTTTGAAGCATCGGAAAGAATCATTTAACCTTTGAATTTATTTTGAATTTAACAAGAAAAAAAAAAATCCATTCACCAACTTGAATTCTTGTACATTTACTTGAAATTCTGGAGTGAAAGAGACAATTGCTTCCAGTTGAACTTTCTCAAGATTTGAAATTTTTGGACAAATAATCAATTTTTACGGTTTTTATTCTTTTGGCCAAACAGGAAGAAGTTTTAAAGCAGTCGATATAAGTACAATTTATGTCCTACTCTGAACTGAAACACAAACTGCTGAAAGAAACCACGGCAGCTGTGTGTTCATGGAGCTAAACGACCTTTCCTCCGCATGTCGGCTTTTTCCATGTACTTCATGTCCGACAATGTAAGCTCCTCACACTGAAAAAAGTGATTTTTGCGAGTGTTAAATATGATCCATAAAAATGAGGTAAATTTTAATGTATTTTTTCAGGTAGCCAATGATTGAAGAAATGTTGGGTAATTTCTACATGTGCTACCCATTCGTTAACATTAAAAACTATTAGATTGGAAATTACAGTAAAATCTACCCCGATTCTTAAGTCCGGTGCTCCAAAGTTGCGCATGCGTCAGACCGCGTTTTTGAAAGAGAAGCGGGACAAGGAACTCTGGATCCTCTCTGCCATCGAACCGTGAGCTGAAGGTAAGATATTAATATAGTTGTTCTGTGAATGATAGCACGAATGCAAATTCTAACATTACAAATGATTAGATACTTCACTTATATTCGATGTGCATCTCTGTAACATGCCAATACTGTACATCAAAATTTGAATTTTTCCATGGCGCCAACATGGCTGTTAACTGTCTGGACAACAACAGGTAGTTTTAATTTGTTCGCAGTGCTTTTGAGATTAGCCAGCATGCATGACTGTTTGTTACCGCTGGTTTTAAGGTTAGAAACTAGTCTAACGCTAAAGCTGAACTTTTGCCGGTGTGGTTAAGTTGTAACGGTCGTTAAGTATCTGCAGGTCTCTGCTCCCACGTCACGCTGCACCGAGACACAGGCACAAATAATTTGCTGAACAATTCATTAGTGTATTTTCGCCGCACATGAGAAGTCTTGTTCATTAAAAGTGTACATGAGAGTAATATGTCGCCAACATATGAAATGCCTGCCGTTTTATATTGTTGACCTGTTAGCTCCGGTAGCTAACATGGCTGCTGGAGAGTCGCTCTCCGCCGCGGTCTGTTTAAAAACAACATGATTTTCTCTCCAGTTCACCTGCATGTCTGCGTACGTGTGTCTATGTTGTGAAAGTTTAGCGTTACTTCTCATAGTTTTATAATTTTTCTTCCCATCAAGAAACATTCATGTGAAGACTGAGATCTGGTTTTTCATTTAGAATTTGACTTTTGTCCTTTATGTCCTAGATCAAGGAAGAGTTCAGACTTATCGACAGTTTCCTTGGAGGAGACATTCATGCTAAAGCTTGATGAGAACACACCAGGTCTTCTGCAGCTTATGCTGCTAAACGAGGGGCTGCTGGTTCAAAGATGCACCTTCTGCTGGACACTTTAAATGACGTATGTTAATTAATTTTTTTTCAGAAATATGTCATTATTGATATACTTAAATTAAAAATGGAAATAATTTGTAAAGAATTGCTTTGTTGTGCACAAAGTTAAGCTCCTTACCAACTTAGTGTGTGTAAATCTCTTCCCACTCTCCACTAACAGTCTTTTCACTAAATTGCATTTCCCTACAGCCACAGAGCATTGAGGAAAAAGGGATACAGTTGTCTGCTGCCTCATTAACTACTTTGGTGAAAGACAAGAAGATCTTTTCCATGACTGCCAGGTATGTCCTTGAAAACAGATGATCGATTAACTCAAGGGATCCTCTTCACTCCTTTTCCTTCTTTCATCTTTTCCTTCTCTCTTCTGATCACTACCCTTTGCTCTCCTTTAGATATGTTGAAATGTATGGAAAAAGCATCTTCAATAAAATTTTAAATGTGTATCTTTTTTGATTATTTTCAACATATAGGAATGTGAGGACTACACAGACAAAACAATGAAGGTGATCGTGATGCACAACATCATGGCTGAGGAGGATCCATCAGACCAAGTGGAAGCCGAACAAAGACATGTGTACTGCTGATGGGACTCATATACGCCCTCAACCTGGACTATCCAAAGCAGCTCAAGAACACATTTGAAGCTTTTCAAAAACTTTTTTTGGAAATTGATGGGGCAAAACTACTGAAGAAGGTCCACAGTCTGAAGAACAAGCTCAAGGCATACATTTTCCGTCCTGTTCCAAGAGGATCTTTTGTCTGGACAGAGTTTTAAGGTAGTATAGCTTTTTTTATTAGTGTTCTGTTCTGTCCTCTGCTCCACATACAGACACAGACATATATGTGGATACATAAGTACGTTGCAGCCTCTCTCAGCCCACTCCATTGTTCTCTGATTTCTGAAAATGGAAAAACAATGTAAACTGGACAGTCTGGTCATTAACACTGACTGAATTCTGACAAATTTAAAAATCACCTCTTTCCCAATTTCGTTGTTTCTGTTATTGTCATTCTACCTGAATGAGTGCAACTATATTAACTGAAGACTGTTGTTTTTCTGATCTGTTTTCATCCACATGTTTAATACTGTACACACGCAGAAAAAAAAAGTATTACAGTTTGTGTGTGGGTTTTGAAGCTTTTGGAATAGAATAAGGGGACTCTTAAAGTTTTGTTTGCATTAAATACTTATCCAGAGACAACATATGTAGCCGTTAGCTCAGTGTGTTATAAAATGTGTTTTGAAATGTCTAAATGTTGTAGCTGTTGTACTGCACTTTATTCATTTATTGTTAATGTTGTGTTATAGTTCTGTTATTTGTTGTGTTTAAATACACCTGCACATCTGAAGATTTGCTCAGTCACTGTTGTGTGAGGCCGAGGAAACACAATTAAGACTATCCCTTGCACCTCACTTCTCCTTTAATTTTCTCTGTTCTCCTAAATTGTCCTTTTCTCTGATGTACTCCTGAGATTGGATGTCTGACATGTTTTATAGTCCTACATTACTGAAAAAATATTTGAAGATGTTATACTGCGGTTTAAGTATTTGTAATTTTGCTTGACAGTGCTGTGTTGTACTTATTTCTGTTGTACTTTTTGGATGAATTCTTAGAATAAAATAATTGTAAAAGTGTATCATCTCGATCTATTATTTGTGGCTGCATTTTAACTTACCTGAATAAGTAAAGGTAACTCAGTGATTTCAGTTAACTTTAACTCTTAATTTTCAGCTAAGATTTACTAGCAAACAAGACAAATTTTTACCTATTTTAACTGACTAAATACCTGTTGAATTTAACCATAAATATGAGGTACATTTTACCCAACTTTTAAAGTATTTCTTACATGTCTAAGTTAATTACTTAATACTCAATATATTTAACTGAATATACCTTAACGGGGACAGTGCAAATTGTTACCTCACTTTTTTAGGGTAAATTCTATAGTTTGCTTTTTACAGTGCAGGTTGCTCATTATAATCCGAAAGTATGAAATCATTTTGATGTTTGCGAGGAGATTTGTCTAATGAAGGTACGAAACATTGTGTTCGAACATCATTCGTTTCTCCCCCGAAGCTTCCGGAGCAACTTTCAGGAAAGAAGATTACAGGTGGGTGGAATAATGCGTTCGCGGGGAAAACATGAGAGAAACCTGACGGACGCACGCAGCATTTACACATACAGTAAAATAATTTTAAAAAACAGAGTTTCATTAAAAAAAATAATTTTTTAATCAGTTCTGCACCACAATTAGGAAAGCAAGTATCAATATTTAACATCACCTTTCGAAAAAGCTTCTTTCAGGGTTAACTAATTCAAACAAACAAGGACGAGCTGAAGGATCGACAGAGACGAGCGGAGATTATTTATTTGGAGACAGCGGGTGGATTTGTGCAAAAAAAAATGTATTCCTTTTCTTATAAAACACAAACAAGTAGCCGTTTAATGGGAGTTCGTATTTGTACTAAACCCAGGAGATTTCTGTAGTCTTTAATTTTGCGAAACAGTGAGGCACAGCATAACACGAGAGATCCAAAATGTAACCATGTGTGGTCTGTCCTGCCTGTGATGGAAGTTAAAAAGGATTTTAAGACAAACACAACAACGGGACACAAGACGTCCCGTTGTTGTTAATGGACAGAAGGACCCTCTTATCTTGTTTCTGCTCCAATTTTCATGCCTTGAACAGAAGAACTAAAACGCTGATTATTCTCTTTGCGAAGTCGGACGCCAATATTACCGCATCATAAAAAATGTAGAAACCCCCAGAGGACGATGCCATGACTCTTTGAAGCACTCGCAAAACTTAATGCGCAGCGTTTGGGAGAAACAGAGTCTTGCCTGTGGCTGCATATTTTTATCTTCAGACACTCGGCTGTGGCCTGGTGTGACATCACGAAAAGTTAAAGAAAGCACCAAAAATGATCAGGTAGAGAATCGCGAACTTCCACAAGCAGGGCTCATCCTGTGCTACACTTTCCAGATCATACAGTGATTTTCAATCTTCTGTTTGAAATGATCGAATCTGTCATACGGCTCAAGGAGGGAAATGGTTTCTGTTTGCCAGGGATGAGCAGGATTCATAGGAGCCCAAAAACAAAAGTATAATAACATGGAGGTGCTGGCTGGAGCTGGTAGTGCCGGCCCAAAGCATGCGCCGGCCCAAGGTGAGGCGTTCATGAGCGATTTGATTCTTCTGATCGGTTCTAAGTCGTCGACGATTCTACGTTGGCGAGAACTGTTCTTTGTTTTTATTTACGACTTAGCAAAAATGATGTAGTACAACACAATAGACAAATGCAATTTATAGAAACGGGTGGGCAGTTCAAAACAGCGCCACTTTTCCCATTAAGACGAACATCCCACTTAATAAGTGCGTTAAGAGACAATTGTCTTCATTTCAGGCTGTGCATGTCAGGATGCTGGGTTGCTGTGGGGGTAATTTCGAGTTAGGTGGTCCATAAGTGTTTGTTAAACGGGTTAAGTGGCGCTCGGTCTGAAAAAGTTTGAGAAAAACGTTCAAGTCAGCTTCGAACCCAGGAGGCAACTGTGCCTCTCTGCAGCCCCTCATTTACAAACACACAGATGAAAAATGGAATTTACTTTAAAAAAAAAGTGCCACAAAATTGGGTAGAATAAAGACAGATTTAAAAGAAAGATACTGACGGGAACAGAGTTTTCTTCCAACCTGAACCACAAAGCTTTCCAATTTGATTGTTTTTCTGTGCAGCCAAAAAAAGCACATAAGTGCTCCCAGTCCCCACCCACAGGTTACCCCTCATCCTCCACACTTCACATTGTGATGATGTAATGAATAGGAAACTCTCTTTTGGAAACTCTAGGGGTGGTTTTAAATTTATGAAACCTCCACGAGTTAAAAAATTCATTACCCAAAGAGCAAACACCCACCATTTCCTCAGTTACAGCCACTTAAAATGATGCTGGGTGGGGAAAGTACCTTCCTCACTGCATAACACTTCTTTTTGGGAGAGCAGCCATTTGATGTGAGGTGATAATATCCCATTATCTGTCTATATTATCTTGTTTTATGAATTAAATAAGCTTTTTTGACTGTATATATTTGTTGGCTAATCTACCTCTAACCAGGAACGATGCTACGAAGGTCATGTTAGGTCATTTCTTACACAGACGAATACATCTATTTACATTTAGTTCCATTGTTTGCACAACCACCGCTAGCTTCAGTACGTGGCTGGCATATTTTTACATATATTGACTTTTTTTTCCGATCTTATTTACAAAAGAGGCCAAATTCAGTCAGACTGGATGGAGACGGTGTGTGAAGAGGAAGTGTGGCCACGTTTTTTCAATTGGACTTAGAGCTAGACTTTGACTAGGACATTCTAACACATGATTTTGCCCTGACGGTAGCTCTGTGGTCCTGACGGAAGGTGAAACTCAACCCACAATGTCAGGTTTTTGTCCAGGTCCTAACGAATATTATTCCTGTTCACCTCCATCCAAGTTTCCATCAACTCTGGCCAATGCTGCTGTTGCAATTTTTCATTTTGCATATAGAGGAACCACAGTGGCAATCTTCTTTCCACAAGAATAAGTTTGAATGAAGGGTGAAACGTTTCCCATGTGAACAGAGGATTTGCTTCCACATTGCCGTCGCCTCCCTTACACGACTTGTGGCAAACGGACGAAACCGCAGGAGATTGTTTTGGCTTTCGGTCACCATGAGAAGGTTGATCCTCCGGTCTGAATTGCAGATCTCTGCGGATCTTCCAGGGTTGGCCTGTCGATCATTGCTCTCCTGTCACTATCCATCCTCCCTGACAGCTCTGTCCTGTTTCTTGGTCTTCATAATACGGTTTTGTTCTACAATGTTCTCCGACACAGAAACGTTAATGTAATCTTGTAAGTTAGTTTTGTCTTATTTCAAGTGTAGTAAGATTTCTTCAGGAGAAACTAAACCAAAAATACTTGGTAAGATTTTGTGTTTTTGCAGTGTATCAGTTGTATTTTTGAGCCGTTTTCTTATTATGCTTTTTTCCCCTCCCCTTTGATTTGTTTTCTCAATTTGGGTAAAAGAAATATGTAAAAAAAAAAAAAAAAAAGAAAAACATGACAATGTATCCATGAAATGGTGATTCTTTTAAGAATTTAAACATTTCCAGTTGAGATTTATCTTTATTTGAACATCAGGTAATCTAAACCTTTGCAGCTCTAAATTGCTTCCTTTTAGCTGGACTGATGGCAGAAATGGCTTCTGGGTGGTAACCTTGCAGACTTCTGAATTATGGGACATCTGAGAGCGACTGGTTTCACTGGATTTAACTCAGCAGTGTCGGATAGAAAGAGCTGGATATCCTTACAGCAGTTTTCTATTTCTAAAAAGATTTCCTCTCCAAAGTTCTGCTCTACTTTGCTCAAGTCACACAAAATTGCACTGAAACGCGGCAAAAATTCCCGAGTACGTTTGCGAGGCGCCACATGTGGGAGAACTGGGTTTACTTTGCATCTGCTACCGCTAAACTCTTCTTCACATCCCTTTTCTCCAACTGTGATAGGCCTCCAATTTATTATCTTCAACAGACAAAGCAATGACAAGTTAAACAGCAATGTTTTTGTTACCCTGCGGTGCGCCCGAATATCATTTCTGCCCGCCCTTGCATTGGAAAAGAGTGCGGTCGGAAACTTAAAGGAAAACAGAGAAATCTTCTCGGCGTGAAGCCTCTGCAATCTGCGATCGCAAAACAACGCCCCGCGGTTCGGCGGAATAAGTCCCGTTTCTGCAGTAATTAGACTAAAGGAGTCACGGAGCAGCCAAATGTGAGGCAGTGTAGAAAGTCTTAGTCATGCAGCCTCATGCATTATGCACCGTTTGCAGGCAAGAACGAATTACCCGCGCTGTTAAAAGCAGGTTAGCAATCTCCTGATCCCTCCTCTGAGCTGGAGCAGCCGAACAGATGCGTTGGTATTAATTACTGCTCAGTGGGAGTTTGGAGCTCTTCCTCTGCCCACCTGTTGTTTCTCAGACCCTCGCCTCACACGTTTCTGCCAGACCACCAGCTTAAAACTGCTCTTTAGCGCCCGCATTCGCCCCCCGCCCCTCTTCCTCCCTCTGATAATTGGGTCAGATTTCACCCCACAGACAGCACGACCTCAGACGGAGGGAAAGAGGACAGTAGGACCACCGGTGCGCCGCCTTAGCATATGCCCCCGGATGACTGCGGACACAGAGATTAGAGCAAAGCAGGCACTTATTAATGCTGCTCGTCACTCGGCGCCTGCAGGTGAATCATCCCTTCTTCCATCTCAATGTGCTGTAAAAACAAGAAGAAGAAGCAGTAGAAGAAAAAAAATAAGCTCAATTTCATCATCAACAAATTCAAAAAGGAGGCAGTATGACAGCATCCGCATTATGTTGTGCAGCCAGAGCTGCACAGGTTTGTGGTTCCTGATATACATTATATCTCCGGAGCGCGTCTTTATTTTAGGACACAGCTGCTGATGAGGTCAGCCAGCCATAAAACACACACACACACACACACACAGATTCACAGTGTGCCGGCAAGGAAAACCTCGGCACGGTGGAAGATAAGACTGGGCTCAAATTGCTGTTTTGTGTTTTTTTAACGAGGACAATTCGCCCTTGCTAATCTGTTTTGCTCCTTCCCCTAATCAACTCACTGACTAATCCATTCCCTCGTGCCAAGGAGCGCCGCGGTTCAGCTCGGGGCCGAGACACGCTGGCACAATTAGCGGGAGAGGGGAGACAATGGCACGTGCCCCGGCTCTTTCACCGACATGAGGAAGCTCACACCAGACAGCTCAGCGGCCGACGCAGTGGGAGCTCCAGCCCGGACTTTGGGAGGTCCGGAGACGTGAAGCTGTTCTGGTGACTGCCGCTGTTCCATATAAATGATTACTTTCAGGTTTAATCATCAAAATCACGAGCTAAAGTTCTGTCTAGAGGCATGACAAATGAAACATCGTCCAACTCTACGTGTATTGATGACTTTAACAGCTGCTGGCTGACAATGTGATGCGCTTACAATGTGTTCACCAAGCAAAGCTGCTGAAATGTGCTATGAACTAAAGTGATTGATTAGAAAGGGTTGATTCTTGGTAGCAGGAATTACTTGTTTTTTTAAAAAGTAAGATTTTCAAAACATCTATGTTTTCCATCACGCTGTTCAGCTGTTTTACTGTTTTCTTGCAATTTTGACAGAGTGAGATTGAAACTACACCACAATTAGCAAAGCAGTCGAGCAAGCGGCAAAACAGCTGCACATTCACAGCTTCACGCGTTTCGCACAAATCTACTCACTGGAGTGTTTTTACATCAAAATCAGACCGAGAATAAATAAATAAATACAAATTTTATCAAACACGACATTAATACATGCATCATCAATATGTTGTGATATTACAGCAAGACTATGAAAAAAATGCTACTCATCTGTTTCGTAGTGAAATAATTGTGACCGTTCTCTACATTTCAGCCGAGAAGCTTCATGTAAGCACCTCTGCGTCGTAACGTTGTCACTCAAGGTTGCGATGAAGACAGAATACAGAACCATGACCGTACTGAACCGGGTCCTTTGATCAGGGTCTACAACCTGATATTCAGTCTGTGAAGCAGCTGCCCTTGAAGACTAAGATCTGAGAGGTGGAAACGATTCGTTCGCATTTATCCATTTCCACAAAAACAACAACAAAAAGAGAACATTACATGATGTACACACGTTTGGCAACATGTTTAAACAAGAACTATTTTCTATGGTGAGGTCAACAATTTTTTCAGTGTGATGTCGGCAGCTACTTTAAACAGAAACCGGGACTTGGGGAGATTGTGTAGCACAGCAACGTTGCTCTGATGCCTCAGTTTAAGACTAAATATGCTGGATGTCTTGTTTGCGTTTAGCTCACCAAATAATTACCTTCAAAATGATTTTCTTTACATGAAAGAAAAGCAAAAAGCCTGTTCACAGTGACCTGCAAAGTGTGATTGTGCCTCTGTTCTCTTAATATTTAATGACTGTTAAGAGTATGAATGCTTGAGAAAGTAGTAAGATTGTCATAAGATAAGAAAAAGCTTTTGCGAAAAAGCCTGAGATGAAAAATTAGCCCCAAAAATGTTGACTGCAGCTTTTATACTTTCACAGGTAGCTGCTTGTACCATGTTTAGCAGCTTCATATTAGCACAAACACATAAACGGATGTGTGTCATTTTAAAGGTTTGCTGGCTGTGCTTAAATTATTTATACTTTATTTTTGCAACCACATTTGGCTTAAGAAGGAGCAGCTGAAGTTTGAGCAAAATCCCAGAGTGCGTATTTGGACGTTACAGTCGATCAACACAGTCATGCTTTCCCAAAATGCTTGGATAAATATAAGTCGCCGAGCTGATATGAGACAGAAACAACTACATCACCGGTTTGGGTTTCAGCTAAATCACGTTTGGATGAAACATGAAGATTTCCACTCTGCTTCTAATTCCTTATCTCTTCACATCGTCAAGACATTCAGGTTTTGTCCGAGCTTTTAACGTTCTTTAAATCTAAAACTATATAATCAAGAAAGAAAACTAACAAACTAATCCACAGAAATGCATTTAAAATCCCTGTTATGACTTGCAAAAAACAACCTGACCTGTTAATTTACTTTATTTAGAGGGGAGATTTTATGTAAAATTGACTCTTTTTTTTAGCTTTACATCATGATTTAATGTTTTGACGTCATAAAAACATGCCTGCTTTGATTCTTTCATGTGTGTTTGAGAAATCCTTTAATCCTTTAGACAACTATTTTGAGGTGTCTGAACCCTTGTTCCCAAGAAGCCCAGCCTATTTGCACAAAGCTCCTCCTAAAAGCCGCAGTCTGCAGGCGAGCCTCCACCTCACAGAGCCCCTTTCCTCCTGCGCCTCCCCCACTCAGATCCTCCAGACTAGCAGCAGCAGCAATTAGCAAAACACCTGGTGTAAAAGAGTCTGTGATGACGTCCCGAAGGCAAAGTGTAGTTAAGGAGCAGGAGCTTCTTAAAGAGACAGAAGCCCAATTTCGAGGCGTCACTTTGCACAGCCAGATGTCTTGAAGTCATGTTCGACATATCCAGCATTTTTATAACAACTGAAGGTAACATGGCGACTTGAGTGTTCTATAAAACGGCTCCATGTGCCTGGAAAACCCACGATACCACACAATGCTGGATGGATGTCTGCTAATTTTAGTTATAACTGAGCTCTGAATATTGTAACAAATGAGGTCAAGTAACAAAGATGATGCAGATGCATGTAGGATCCATGCATCTGTATCAACAAAAAATGCATAGTATAATGAAAAACATCTTCATAACTCACAACTTGTGTAGCATATCATCAATGTATCTCCACGGACAGCAGAATTAGCTCCCAGATTGGCAGAACAGTGAAACAGTTCCAACTTTAAGCTGACTATCATGACCAGAGCCTCACCAGCGACCTCCAGCGTTGCGTTGCGACTGATGGCCTCTCCCAGCAGGTTGCGGGCCACGCAGGTGTAGACGCCCTCGTCCGGTTTGCTCCTGCGTCCGTGAACGATGCGTAGAAAGAAGAGGGAGCCGCTGGGCAGGAGCATGCGGTGGGAGCGTGGGTCATCCCTGTCGGTCTCCACGCGCTCGCCGTCTTTGTACCACTCTATGCCGGGCGTGGGCCGGCCCTCCGCCTTGCAGTTGAGGGTGGCGGGCTCCCCCTTGGAGACGATCAAGTCGGAAGGGTCCTCCACTATCCGAGGAGCACTGTCTTCAAATCGTGCTCGGGACCCTGAGAGAAAAAGGAGAAGATTGATGCGACTCGTCCACATTTGAAAATGTGTCGGCAGAAGGATTTAACGAGATGTGAGCTTTCTTTTTAAGATACGTTGTCGCTTGAAGCATTTAAGCAACGACGATGAATTGAAATGGGTTCCTTTTGTTGTGTTTTATTTTGGATATGAGAGTATGACGCTAAGTGCTCTTGTTTTTGAGAGGGTGAATTTGCAATATTATACTAATTTCAATTTATCATTTGATAACGGTTTTGAAAACAACAAAAACACACTGAAACTTATGACAGGCCGATTTGTCACACTGAATATCTGCTTTTCTGTGGGATGTTGGGAACAAAAGTTCATTGTTTTAGAGGGAAAAATGATGCATTATGTTGAAAACATAAGTGAGACGTTCAGTTTTATCAGAGCACAGAACGAGACTTAAATCCAAATCATATGATATGCTCTGTATCAAACATAGACTTTCAAGGGACCAAAATCATGTCTGTAGATACGTACTCGGTTACTTGAAAAGTGTTTATGTTTTTGTAAAAAACTTTGAAAACCACAAATTTTTTTTTTTTTTTTGCACAAAAATGATGCACAACTTGATGTGACCGTATCTCAAAACATCTCTATAAAATACACAAATGTTTTTTGGGCCGTAACTTGAGAACCTCCAACGGGCCGGGCACAGAGTTCAGATCGGGCCCAACCCACCTGGCTAGTTAACATTAATTTTAGGTCTGAGCCAGAAGTGAACTTGACATTTTGTGATTTCACCTGTTTTGTGTTCAGGACACAAATTAAGTAAGCAGCGTAAATTCTCCTGTTTTTAGCTGCTGTTTATCGACTTCCAGCTCCGTCTTGTCGCTGGCTGTGACCTCAGGGTGAGTCAGGAGGGACGTGTGACTGATGGGAGCGCAGCATGGTGGGGGAGCGAGCGCATTTATATCTTTCTTCAGCAACTCAAGCAATCTCCTCCTCTATTTAAACTATAAGTAGAGTAGCTCTACATTGTGCATTCTGTTTGGTTCTCTCCGTGCTGAATGTATTGTTGGCTTACTAAGCACAACCCGTCCATCAATACTTTTGGTCCGACCCGTTCAGGTCAGGATTCAGGCTTGGGGCATAAATCTAAACTCAAGTGTGAACACGTTTTCAAGGCACTGTACATTCAACTTCTACTTCCTCCTCCAATGTTTGCTCACAGAAAGGCCCATTATGCAAAATAAGTATCGCTGTCCAGAATGTTAAAGACAACCTGAGAATACAAATCGCACATCCAGTGTGATTTGGTACTGGCCAAACTTTGTGTGTGTGGATTCCTGCAGATATGAAGGCAATAGCTGGAAATTCTTAGCATTTACTCGGAGCTGGAAAGAAGCAAAAGAGGCAGAGGGAAATAGATAAGTCCTGCATCCAACTCCCCGGAGATCCATTACTATTTTTGCTTGGCTCTCGGCGAAAGGCGCTCCGCTATGAGACCTGAGGTAAGCTCTTAGAGCACGACCAAATGTCTCCAACATTGTGTTACAGTCAGAAAAAAATGAATAATTCAAAACGGCGCTGCTTTTAGGTCGCTTCTGAGGAGCAGATGGCCTCTCTTTCTCTCTCTCTCTGTCACTTTTTTCCAAGGGAAAAAAAAAGTGAAACAAAATGGTCACTGTACCAGTGATTTATTAAGCTGCTCTGTCTGTGGCATTAAAGTCGGCGCATCAGCCAGACTGCATGAAAATCCCCCCCATTATCATCGCAGAGGAGCAGAGGAAAGCAACCTAATGACACACATGCTGCCATTAAATTAGACTTACGCCGGAGGCATCGGGAGAAATGTGCACTTTTGCTTAAAGCAGATTTGAGCCTTTTTTTAAAAAAAAAAAAAAGATAAATGAATTGAGCGATTTGATCCAGGCAGACCGGCAGTCACCACCGAGGCAGAAACGCGAGGTAAACATCCAAAGAGCGATCTAAGTGCTCGCAGCTGACACTCTTGGGTCACAAAGCAGGACAGCTTGAAACAGCAGCGCGGGCCGCGGATGAATACTAATCGAGCCATTAAAATGTTCTATAGCACCTTCAGGGCATCCTGGTGTAAAAACACACCGTGTTTAACAGGAGCGGGCGAGTCTAAATCAGCAGCCTGAGAGATTATCTTCAGAGATATCATTATAGGATTTCAGCATGCATGGATGTGACGCCGCTGTACTTGGCACATCTGAATATATGCACATGTGGATTTGATTTATTTATTAGAGTGTCGTGCAGGATGGAGCCCCGCTGACATCGACTGACAGGAGATCAAATGTAGCTAAAAGGACGTCAAGACGGCCATCAAACAAGCCTCTAGCATTATGAAACATTAACAGGAATTAAATTGCACAGCAAGAAAATGTACTACAGAGGACTTTTTACACAACCCCCATTCCATAAATGTCGCTAAAATAGACAAATGTCTTTTGATTAAATAGCTAATTTAACACACGCGCTTCAAAAAGACAAAAACAGAAAAATCATGTTTTTTCTGTTCCATCTTCATAAACAGAAAAACAAAATATATCAGACAGATATTGCAAGAAGTCTCACAGTTCAACTCAGTTTTGTCTCTTTGGTTCAAAATGGGTTTAAAAAAAATAATTCATTAGAGTGCCTATTAATAATTTGATGTATTGCTTATTTTTAAAAATGTGCTGCCCATAGAAACAACAATGAGCGTATGCATTACATTAACAGAGAAGACTCACAATTTTAAGCAGTAAGATGTCTCAAAGTAAAACAGCAGTGCACCAACACTTGTACTCAACATGAAGCACTCCAATGAAATTGAAGCAAAGTGTATGTAAACGTCAGTAGTTATGGATTTTCTTGTGAAAGCTGAGGCAATTCACATCATTCTTAAGCATATTTGAGCAATAATGCAGTTTTGATGACTCTCCCCACCAGTAGGTGGTGATAATGCACACCAAATAGCTGTCTGCCAACTGACTATAAACTTAAGAAGAAGAACACAACAACGACTTCCAATGGAAATGAGGATACAAACGATTTTCAAAATCGATGTTGCAATGCACTGATGAATCGATATTCTTACTCACCTCTAGTTCTCAGTAAAGGAAAAACCAATCGAAGCGTTACACCACACATCTCTGATGATAAAAATACAGCAGATGCAGCAAAACGCTTAATACATTCAGCAGGAACAACAAACCAAAACAATGAAAGACGTCGCGAGGCAATCAGGGAATTGTTATTAACAAGTTCTTATCTAAGCTGCATCTTCCCTTCAACACGTTCACATCCTCCAACGTACTAAATGCAACGTCAGCCAACCTGTACGCAGCCAGCAGGTTCACTTCTGCAAGCACTTTTGATTACATGAAGTGAGTGCTGGAACGCAGCAGAGCACAGGTTAATGAAATATTAATCCTGGCTGTCTAAACCTTCCACCCAGGAACTTTTTGGGTTGTGTTTTTTTGTTGTCGTTTTTTCTCAAATGGGTTGTCAGTTTTTGAAAAGTTACCTCAGTTGTTTCGAAAAGGTACGAAGCAAGAGTGTGCAGACACACACAAACTTTCTCCTCCATGCGGCACATGAATGTCACTCCAATTTTTGTAATGTTGACTCAATGGAGCCTGTGTGCTCGACTGCAGCCGACAGAGCACACTGGAACAGGACAGGATGAAATATTCATACCGCTTTTCTAGACCTTCCCAATGCAACTGGAGCAAATGGGTCACTTTCAGCCAATACAAGGCGTCATTTCACAGCCATTGTGACACTCGGAAGAATGTACTTCCTGCACATTTAGGGGAGCGTGGAAGGAGGGGGGAAAAAATGTATTTTGGGTCACTATGAATCATGAGGCGAACACAGTTTGGCTGCCATGTCGGAGTCAATGACAGCACAGCTCAGGGAGGCTCCCGAGGGCTCGGTTTTAAATTTTAGATCTTTATGCCAAGTCCGAGAGGTCGTTTTCTCCCACCGACATTCTCCAAAGTCATGCAGTGCTTTCTGTGCTGCAGCTCTTTCCCAACTCACTGCGACTGGAAATATCCGTCGTGACAAAACGTGGCACATCTCTCACAGTGAAACGAGCGAAACGTTCCGGTTCCTCGCTGCGTTCGTCTCCTGGGGGAGGTGTTCTAGATCAGCAAACATTTTAATGACACAGTTGCCCGGCATTTATGCACAGTGGTTAACACTATTACTCTAAGAACAGAGGCAGTTTGTGAGCAAGAACACAGAGTGACCCTGACTTCAGACGCGATCCTAAAAAATAAACGTAATCGTTTAGACAATGAGATGTTGGTGGGAGGTTTTTAAAAATCATTTCCAATTTTCATGTGCAAAGGCTCACAAAGAGTTTTATTTTCAACAATGTTTACCAAAGGAGTGTTTTTCCCCTTGTACCTTTCACAGTGAAATAGAAGGTGTCTGCTCAAAAGAACAAATGGTGTTTAATGAGGCTAAAGAAACAATAGTTATTAAATTATGTTATGTTAAACTTTCTCTAAGTTTTGGCCACACAGACATAGAAGGAATCACATTAAAAAACTCATAGAGTTGAAAGATTAACAATGGATGTAAACAGAGGAAACATTGGAAAATTTCTTTAACTCTTCAAGAAAACTGTTTTCCATTGAAACGTCATGAGCAGAAAAAAAAGACGCAGCTTCACTGAATGCGGTAGCTACTGATATATCTCTAGAAATCCAAGGGTGCATTCACACCAGCCTTGTTTAGTCCACTTTAGTCAAACTCTAGTCCGTTTTTCTAGACAGTCGGATTTGTTCGGGGAGGTGGGAATGCGCAATCCAATTCTGGTCCGCCTCAAAACCGAGGGCTCAGTTCGATTTCAGTGAACTCTGGCACACTTCGAATGCAAATGTGGATGAAAGTGGACCGACTGCTCCAAAAGCAAGAAACGAACAATCACGAAGGGCATTCTGGGTAAATGCAACCAAAACAAATGCAAGATAAGACTATAACGCTGCCAAAGTCAAAAGAGGAATCC